GGTCCTGTCTGCAACCATACGGCAGACGAGAAATGACTGTCGTGGAGACTCTCAGGGACCAGACAGGGAGAGCTCCTGTCCAGGGGCCCCCCGCCCAGCCTTTCACACCCTCCACCGCCTGACCAGGGTTCCTGGCGATCTCTGATTCCCCTGCTCCCAGCTAGGACTGCTGACCCTCCTTCAGTCTCTGGGGACACTCCGGCTCCTTCTGTCAGGAACACAGCTTGGCCACAGAGGAAGCGGCCGTAATGGGCCAACCGCGGCTCCCAGACCCCTCTCCTTGAGACCTGGAAGCGAGTCTCCCTGGATGCAGGTCTTTTGCACGTACTGTACATCTGCATTGCTCTCTGCTGCTTCTACCCCCTTTGGGTCTGTTTAATTACGAGACTATAAAAGTTGTTTTTTTCGTATGCAAGGACATAAAGAGGGGGAATTTAGTGTCTATGGTTCCCGCAATGAAAGTTAAAAGGCCTGATGAGAGAGGGAAATAATTGAGTAATAATTCTGATAAATATTCTAAAGACCCCCTCCGGCCTCCGACTGAGCGTACTGATCTTTGGAGCAGAAAGTGCTGTGCAGGGGAGCTTGGGAATCAAATCCTCCAGCGTGTTCTGGGGGAAGTCGGCCAGCTTCAACCGTTAAGAAGTTTCGACAAAGCATCGCAGCCTCTGCTGAAGATCTCAGAACAACTTCCAATCCCATCCACCCTCTGATGGACCCACGTCCACTTCAAATCAACGAGATCAGCCTGGGCCTTGGATGGAACTGCCAGTTTTACAATCAAAATGGAATCTAAAACCATTTCAAGAAGGAAGAGCCTCTGAGATTAGCTGTAAAGGAAGGAGAGGGCACAGAGGAGGGAGCTCTGGGTCCTGCAGGACGCGCTCTGGGGAGGTGGCCCCCGTGGAGCCGCTCATGGGTGGACCACCTCTTCTCTCTAAGGACAGACGAGGCCATTAGCTCCAGCTTATCCCTGCCCTCCGAGCTGAGACCGAATCCTGCTGCGGGTGTATTTGTGTCAACAGACTATTTTAATTGACTCATCAGGAAGCCCAGGGTCCTATTTATAGGATTCAGAGCGATTTGACACTGTTGGCCCTCTCTTAATCAAGGCTTCCTGCAGGATTTGGGGCATTATATTTATTCACTGGCTCTGAGGGGACTGATTTTAGGATGCCACCACCTTTAGACCCCAGGAAGTCCTAGAAATCAACCCCAACAGGCTCTGCTGCCTCCTGACCGTGGTTCACGCACCACGTACACACAGTCCCCTAATCCCTCCACTGGGCGTGGTCGGAGATTATTTGGTTGTTTTTTTGGATGAGAAAGTGTAGGCTGAGAGCACGGAAGTGCCTTTCCTGAGATCAATGCCCAGGAAGCGAGTATCTGCCCAGGCCCCTCTAAGCATGGTCTTTGTAACTCCCACAGCATGCTTGGGTTATTGTTAAGTGCTGTCAAGTCAACTACAGCTCATAGCAACTCTCTCAACACCAGCCTGAAACCTTGCCCAGTCCTCTGCCCCCTTCACACACCCCACCACACTTGAGCCCACTGGTACAGCCGCTGTGCCTATCAGCTTGTTGAGGACCTTCCTCTCTTTCTCTGGCCCCCCAACTTCCCCAGCGTGATGTCTTTCTCAAGGACTGGCCTCTCTGGACAACATGCCCAAAGTATGTGAGACCGAGTTTCACTCCCTGTGCCCCGAAGGTTGTGCCTTCTCCAACACAGGCTGGTGCTCACGTGGCGGTTCACAGTGCAGCCAATATGCTTGGTCAACACTGCACGTCAAAGCCATCACTTCTTCCTCAGAGTCCCTCAAAGAAAAATCAGTTTTGGTTTCATTTGGACTGCATTTCTCTGTGGCACCAGGAGCAAAACGACAGTAACACAGAGTTTTCACTGCTGGCCAGAAATGGAGAGGACTGGACATGTCATGGTCAAGGTCACAGGCTAGATCCTTCAATATGGATTATGCCTGAACACGAGCAAATGACAGCCCTCTTTCTAGGATCACTGTGAGTCACAGTTGACACAAAATAACAATAAAGAACAAATTAAAGCCATCAGTGATTTGACTCTGGCCAACAGTTAATGCCTGTGCAAACAGTCAAGTTGCCATACTTACACAAGGAAGTATCACACTGAACAGATGTGCTGCAAAGCATCTCTCTTTAAAGTCTTAAAAATAAAAGATGCCACATTAATAACTAAGACACGCCTGGTTCAAGCTATGGTCTTTTAAATTGCCTCATGTAAAAGCTAAATGATGAGAAAAGAAGACAGAAAAAAAGCCCTGGTGCATTTGAAGTGTGTTGGTGAGAAATGTCAGATGTCCGTGGAGTACCAGAACGAGCCTACCTGCCTTAAGTGGAGGTGCAGTCAGAATGGGCTCTAGCACGGAGCGTGTGCAGCCTGCGGCCCCTACACTGGGCAGGACGTCAGGAAAGACCACTCTCTAGAAGGTTATCCTGTCTGCGGGAATGAGAACCCCCCTCACCGAGATGCAAAGACAAACAGCCCGCACAACACACGATCAGGCGGATGAGGCAGGACCAGCCAGCGCGTCCCTGAGACCTAAGGTCACAGTGAGCTGGAGGTGATTCAACTGCAATTAACAAGAGCTTTCAAAGAGAGGGAAGCCCAGCATCATGAGCCGTCCTGGATGAAGTGACAACTTCAATGCTACATAATGCATCCCTGGCAGGTCATAATTAGAGCCCTTTGGCCTTCCTTCTTCCATGCTAGTGATGGAAGTAAACCCGGGCCTCCGTCTGTCCGTCTCAGTTGCTGGGCCCACACGTCACTGTGAGCAGGGAGGAGCAGGCATGCTCCTTGCTATTCCAGATCCTCGAGGAGGGGAGCTGTGAAGAAGGCAGAGGGTGGACAGTCCTGGCTTAAGATTAGATGCTCCAGAGAGATGATACCCAGAACCCCCAGTGGGGTACATCTCCTCTGTCACAGAACAATACATGCACCTGACAACAACACACACACCTACCCGACGGTCAGAGTCGTCTGTGAACAAAGATGAGCTTGGAGAAACACAGGTGGGAGATATGTCAAAGATTCAGGATTGAAACAACAAAGAAGAAACACCCACCGTCACGGAGTCAGTGACGGCGCTCAGCCACTGTCCAGGGTGGAGCAGACCGGCCGCTCGCAGCGCCTCCTGAACACAACGGGATCGGAACACGACATCCCAGACAGTGTCATTTAAAACAGCTACTCGTGCTCTCTTCACAACAATGTGAAATACAGAGTTTGCAAAAGTTAATTTTCTAAAAGATGCACATGATCTTTATAGAGAATATGTTAAAATTGTTAAAAGCAAAGTCTGAAATAAATGGAATGGCTAAGTTCTGTTTATGAGTGGGAAAACACAATTTCAAACAAGTGTTTTCTTTCCAAGCTATTCAATTCTCCCCCAAATGAATCTATACATTAAATGCAATTCCAATAAAGCATTTAATAGAATGTGTGTGTGTATGTGAGCAAGAGAGAAAGGGAGGGAGAGGGTAGGGGAGAAAGGACGGAGGAGGGAGACCTGTCATGCTGATTCTAAAGTGTATAAAGAAGGGCAGAGTCAGGAGCGATCAAAAAGACCTGGAAGAACGAAGCCGGGGGACGTGACTTCCCACCTTCCCATTGGACAGTTCTGGTGGTCGAGTACAGGAAGCAGCATGTGCGTCCTGAAAAGAGGAAAGAGACCAATGCAAATCGGGGAAGAGGGGCCACCAGGGATGGCGGGAGGGTCAGGGATGGTGAGAGGTCAGTGAGAGTGGGATGGTCTGGAATCCTGGGGTGCCTGGGGATGACAGGGTGACCAGTGATGCTGGGGCAACTGTTCTCACTGAGAACACACAGCAAGGAAACAAGCAAACAAAAACCCAGCTCCAGTTAGATCTCATCTCATCTCATCTCATCCACAAGCAACTGCAGGCGACCCAGATATGAAACTCAGAACATCACGGCCATGAAAAATGGTACCATATACATACACAGACGCGGGCCCTACCCGGCGTTGTCCATATACATACACAGACGCGGGCCCTACCCGGCGTTGTCCATATAACATACACGGATGCGGGCCCTATGCGGCGATATCCATATACATACACAGACGTGGGCCCTATCCAGTGTTGTCCATATACACACACGGACGCGGGCCCCATGTGGTGCTGTCCACGCTCTCAGGCAGGCTTGAGCGCATTGCTTCAGTCCCTGTGTCAGCCCGTCTTCTTGAGAGTCTTCCTCTTTCTCTGAACCTCACCTTCCCCAGCATGAGGGCTTTACCAAGGACTAGCCCCCCTGACAGTGTGCTCAGAGTGTGAGATGAAGCCTCCCCATTCTTGCCTCTGAGGAGCTCTCTGGTTGCACTTCTTCCAAGGAAGACTATCTACATATTTATTTGTGTGTGTTATATACATATGTTCTCCCCCCCCGCAGATATGATGCAGAAGGTACAATCCATAAAGGGGGGAAAAGATAAATTTCACTTCATCAAATTAAATCAATGAATTAAATTTCAGAAAATGAAAAGTCAAAGACTGAGAAAGTATTTGCAAGTCATACAGCAGATGAAGGACTTGTAATCAAAGATCTGAACGGGAGTCCCCTGATGACACTTAGCAAGTGATGTGGCAGGAGACGTGCTCTACGCCAGGGCGAACTACACAGACGTGTGGCCACAGTCAACGTCCATAGGTCACAGAGGGCTGCCACCACCCCTGCCCACCTTATCTGTGCCTCGACGGCTCTCCCCGGGAACCCTGAGGGGTGAACTGCACACAAGTCTGGCCACAGCCAACGTCCACAGGTCACAGAGGACTGCCACCCCCCCCCCCCCGTTATCTGTGCCTCGGTGGCTCTCCCTGGGAACCCCGAGGGGTAAGCTGCACACATGTCCACAGGTCACAGAGGGCTGCCACTCCCAATCCCCCATCATCTGCACCTTGCCAGCCCCCTGGGAACCCCAAGAAGAGAGCATGAGGCTGACTTACTGAGGTTCCACTTGAGGCCCGTCGTGGTCACATGCCTGCACGGCTCCCCCACAGGGATGAGGCCACACCAGTCCCCCTCCAGCCCGGTGTCCACCAGCAGCCTGTGCTTGCCCTGTGGAGAGAAGGCCAGCCGTGAGCAGAGGTGGGAGGGCACGGAGACCAGGGAGGGGGGTCCACAGATGCGAGGGCGCCTGGCACTGTCCTGGGCTGTCTTTGCTGCACAAGGGTTCAGCCTCACAGGCTCACACCAGGTTACTTATTGATAATGACTTCTTCTGTAACGAGGCTTGGTGGTGACCGAACGCCCCAAACAGCTGCAAGGAGAGGGCCCTGGATGCAGGCAGCCTCGGCCACCCCGGGGATGTGGTTCTGTCCTGTGGGGCTGCCATGTGATTGATGGGTTAGCCCCATGTCCCACCACGTCCAGCACAGCACCTCCACCTGGAACTGTCTACCTGAGACAGCTCGGCAGCCTCTGATTACAAAGCTGCACACTCTGAGGAGATGGAGAATGCTGTGAAGTCAGGAGGGAGGATGGACCTCAGCTGTGGGGGGAGCACCACGGGAGGGGAGCGATGCACACAGAGAAACAGGAGCTGCCGAGGAAGAGTGGAGACAGGACAGTGGACTCCAGCCCATCAGGTCATACCCTCCAGCCCTGGCCCATCAGGTCACACCCGCAGTAAGTAGCCTGTCACAGCTGGGGCAGGAATCGGCGTCGGAATCACCCTACGTATGAACTGCTGAATGGGAAACCAGTTATTCTAAAATTCCTCCTTGATAAAAAGTTAACAAATACATGTAAACACAATCAGAAGCTTTTTAGATTGAAGTTTTATACATACCATCTGTGTAGATCATGATAAATTGTGGCTAACCTTGAGGAAAATGTGAATCTCAGAACACTTTATTGTGCTTATATGAAACCTACACTTGGACCAAGAAGCAGTTCTCAGAACAGAGCAAGAAAACACTGCATGGTTCAAATTGGGAAGGGTGTATGCCAGGGGTGCGTCCTGTCTCCATACCTTTTCAACCTGTATGCAGAACAGATTATCCGGGAAGCTGGGCTCTATGAGGAGAAATGTGGGGTCAAGATTGGTGGACAATTTATCAACAATCTACGTTATGCAGATGACACAACCCTGCTTGCTGAAAATGAAGAGGACCTGAAGCACCTGCTGTAGAGGGTCAAGGACTGCAGCCTACAATATGGATTGAGGCTCAATGTCAAGAAGACAAAGATTCTCACCACTGGACCAATTGGCAGCATCAGGATGGATGGTGAAGAGATTGAGACTGTACACAGCTTTAGTTTGCTTGGCTCCACAGTCAACACTCTTGGCACCAGTAGCCAGGAAATTAAAAGGCGTGTTGCCATGGGCAAGTCTGCTGTTAGGGACCTCTCCAAAGTTCTGAAGAGCAATGGTGTCTCTCTGGAGACTAAGGTGCATTTGATACAGGCCATTGTCTTCGCAATCACTTGTTATGCATCAGAGAGTTGGACAATGACCAAAGAGGATAGAAGGAGAATTGATGCCTTTGAGCTGTGGTGCTGGAGAAGAGTATTGAGAATACCATGGACTGCTAGGAAAACAAACAGATTCATCCTGGAAAGGGTTAAACCGGGTGGCTCCTTGGAGGCAAGGATTCTGAGGCTCCGTCTAACATACTTTGGAAATGTTGTGAGGAGAGACCGGTTCTTGGAGAAGGACATCATGCTTGGGAGGGGAAGGCCCTCTATGAGGTGGATTGATTCAGTGACTGGGATAATCGGGATGGGAGTGTCGGAGACAGTGTGATTGGCACAGGACAGAGCAGAGTTTAGGGCTGTTGTACATAGGGTCGTTATGAGTCGCAAGCGACTCGACGGCACATAACAACAACAACAACAACAATCAACCCAACAGCAAACCAATCACAAGACAGAAAACCAGGGACTTGTGATAATAATTTTACATCCGAATTAGAACCCGAGTATTACTGACAACATTACAAGTGCGAGTTCTACGTGAGGTAGGTGATGTTCATCAAAAGGCAGAATGCACACAGACAACTGTATAGTCACAAGTGTTCTTTTTTGATATAAAAATAGAGAATAAAAGAAATCTAAAAAATTGAAGCTTAGGAAGAATGTGGAAGTAAGGGTCTTTTGAGCTTAAAATAAGAAGATAAAAATTATAGGACTTTCGAGGAAATGCTGCATTTTGAAAAAGAAAAGAGAAATATAGGTTGTGTTGAAGTCGGAAGATATGACAGTGCACTGGAGTCAAGCACCACTGCTCGCTGAAGGGTCGGAGGTTGGAGGCCACAGTGGTTCTTCAGGGAAAAGATCCATGATCGTTGCTCAAGGCTGTTCGGTCGGCACCGACTCACTGCCAACGCTCCAGCAGGTTCTCAGAGGCTGGAGGTTGCAGGGGAGGAGACTCCTCATCCTTCTGCTGTGGGACAGACAGTGGACGTGCACACGCCTCAGACTGCTGAACGTGTGCCCTCCTCGACCAGCAGGGCCTGGCTACAGTGGACTGTTTGCTGGACACAGAGGCTCGTTTCCAGTAAAAGCCGCTGTTGTTGTTAGGTGCTGTCGAGTCGTAAACGACTCATAGCAACCCTATGAATGAAAGACCTGGACAACTTTCATCGTTTCTCTAAGTTCATGGAGTTTCTGGAGGTGAGCCATTCCGGAAGTGGATGCCATTCCTGCTTTCAAGCTCGTTTTAATCGGGAAGCTCCACCCAACACTGTCCACCATAGGTATCTATTATCGCATTTGACACATCAGTGTCACAGTGTTTAGCATCACAGCAGCCACGAGTTACCTCTGCACAGCAAATGGACAGACCAGTGCTATATACCACTTTGACCAAACCAATTAAAACCCGGCCTGAGGGTGCAGATTAAAATCATCCACTTTGGCTTGACAGCATCACTTTCTGTCCTCTAGGCCAACTGTAGGCAAAGCAAAAATATCTGCAGCATTTTTTAAATGTCCCTTGTCAATCAGTACTAAGGTGAGATCTAGTTCATAAAAATGAAGTGAGTGTTAGGGATTAGATCATTTTAAAAAATGATTCACTCTTTGGCTTTGGAAACGAAACTCTTCACACCAGCCTCCTGTGTGACGTACAGTACGCAAGGGAGCTGCAGGAACCTTGTCTCTGCTGACAGTGAACCCTCCTCGAGCCAGCGAGATGAGAGGGTGTGGGGCCTGGGACAGAGATGCACACGGCCATGGCAGAGGCCACGAGGTGGGGGCTCCACGGAGCTGGCGTCCCGCCCACTGGGCTGGGCAGCTATACATGATTTCCACCAACTTTTGCTGTCGGAAATCAATCAAGCATGGAACCAAGAAGCCTTAACAGTAATGCGTGACTGGAATGAAAAAGTTGGGAACAGGAAAGAAGGATCAGCAGCTGGAAAACATGGAGTTGGTGGTGGAAACCGAGATGGAGGTAGAATGACAGAATTTTGTACGGTGATTTATTTATTGCAAGTACCTTTTCTAAAAAACAAAACAAACAAACAAAAACACCCCCAAAAAACCAAACCAACAAACAGCAACTATACACACGGACTTTGCCTGATGGTCTACACAGAAATCAGACTGATTGCATTTGTGGAAAAAAATCACTGGAGCAACTCAGTATCAGCTGTGAAAAATAGGCTAGGCTCCAAGTATGGAACAGACCACCAACTACTCATATGCAAGTTCAAGCTGAAGCTAAACAGAATGTAATCAAATCCACAAGAACGGAAATTTGACCTTGAGTCTATCCCACGTGAATTTCAAAACCGTGTTAGGAACAAATTTGAACACCAATGAATGAAGACCAGATGAGCGGTGAGAGGAATATCAAGAGTCTCATCCCTGAAGGTCATTACAAAGACAGAGGGAGGAAGAAAAGCCACAATGGATGTCAGAAGAGACTCTGGGTAATGCACTAGAGCACGGAGAAGCCAAAGCAGAGGGAAGAAATCAGGAAGTTAAGGAGCAGAACAGAAAGCTTCAAAGGGCAGCACGGGAAGGCAAAGCCAAGGGATCTATTAGAGAGCCACACACTACACCCGCATGACCCTCCTCCCAGCAGCCAGGTCGCTTCCTCATCAGCCTCAGCTAGTGACCTCCGTGAACACCACACCTGGACCTCGCCCGTCCTCAGATCTCTCATACACTCCAGTCTGTTGTTACAGTCACTATCTTGTTGGGAGTCTTCCTCTATTTAGCTGCCCCGACCTTTCCCAGCTTGACACCTTCTTCAAGGACTGGTCGCTCCTGACTGCAGGCCCAGGGGGTGAGATGAAGCCTCACCGCCCTCGGTGCATTTCCTGCAGGACGGACTGCTGCCTTCATGGTGCTGGTAACTCCTGCCAACATTCCCCCGGTAGGTACCTCACTATGAACAGCACTTCCTGACCCGAGCCAACCGGCAGGATGATGAGGCCCAGGGACACGTTTTTGTGAAACACGCGGTTTCTGAGTGTAGGACCGGCACACGGCCACACCTGGGACACATGGCAGGTTCTGCCCCAGACTCCCCTGGAGAAGCCTGTCCCATGGACTTTCTGGTTTCTATAAACACTGCCACTTCCACATTCTGCAAGAATTAGTATGAAGACAAAGTGTGAAACATGTGCGAATGGTCCAAATATGCCCGAGGCACGAAGTGACCAAAGATTGTTGGAAAGTGGTGCCACCAGCGCCTTGCACAGGATTGGCACAGCCTTCAATTTGTGAGAACAACCCCCCCAGTATCCGTGAAACACAACAAGGTGAGTTTTCTTGTCCTTAAAAATGGTTAAGTACATGTGTTATCTTTCCTTTCCCATCATCACGCTGACACTGACTTAGGGAGCCCCGTGTGTCGGGGTGGACGTGCTGACCTGCACTGCCAGGGCCTCTCTTCTGCACCCAGCGAGCACCAGCCATCCCTGGGGCCTGGTGTGGGCACAGCCATCTCCATCTAACCGTGGGGACTTGTGGCGGGAACATTCTTACCTGTGAGCACGTCCAGTGCTGCCCTGCTCGGCCTCACCTGTCCTCCCTTCCCCTCGTCCAGACACTGCTCCCTACAGACCTCCCCGGGCCTGCACTGCCTCCCC